AAATAGAGTAATACTATTTCGAATATTATGCTATATTTTCATAGGGGCTATCCAAATATCGACTCATGATGTTTTCTTCCCCTATTTGAGGGAATAAAGTCTTGGCCTTCCTGAAATCATTGATTATGAGTTTCCTCAGCTACATAAATCAAGACTAACATAGCTAAAGCCAATGTGAGGTGGAAATCAGTCTTTTGGACTCGCCCATCCCTTTGCGATAGAGAAGGTTGGGCCTGTACCAACGTTCACCCACCTAAGCTTGAGTAACTCATCCAGAACAACTGAAAATACTTATTATATGCTGTGTGGTAAACACATAAACTGCAGCCTAACTTAGAAAAAAAGAGAAGAAAAAGGAAAGGTAGTTGGTATTTTTCACTCCTGCCTTCGCTAGGCCCAACCCTGCATTTCTTCAAAAAAACCCTCAAAATGAGACCGCACGAAGAAGCCTCTCACCAGTAGGAGGAAAGCAGACGGCTGAGAGCAGGCCCCACAAATAAGTTGATACTTTTGGAGATAAATACATGCTAATTTTGTCAGATACACGTTAGCATCAGACCATAATCCAATTAAATAGAAATAGTTATAACATGAGAATCTGGGTATGAGAAGGAGCAGTTGCATTAATGTAGGGCCGGCAGTTGCACCACATCTTCCCCCATGCACACGGGGCTTTGCCTCTCTTCTCTGCAAAGGAATTACGCTTCAACTGAAAGTTGCCAGCTGTAAAACCTTCTTTTTGACAAATCTGATGTGGACGTTCGCGTGATTCATCTGCAGCCTGTTCCCAACTCTTACTTTCGATATGGAAATGTGGAACCATTTTCAACCAGCCCCAAGCCCATGAAGAATAAACTGTTCTTTTAAAAATACTACTGTACCTTTTAAGTATGCAGATTGCCAGGCTGAATTTTAAATGCAATCACTTTGCTTCTAGTACACTCTAAAAATCAGGAGTCACAGGCTGCATGAATCAGTCCTCTGCACCTAGGACCTGCTATTTCCATCATCTTAAGCCTGTGTGCTGCAATTCTGTGAATTGTCCACTTTTTTCCCCAGCCTCCTCCATGAAATGCAGATGCGACATAAAACCCATTTATCATGCTGGAAATTGCTATTGTATTTAATCTTCCCAAAGAGAGCAAAATCAAATTATGATGTGTAAAGAATTATAATCTGCCAAATTCAAGGGAATACTCCAAACTTATCCCTCCATGTCTGCAATAGAACAGGTCAAAGAGGTCTAATGTAGAAGACATGGGTAGGAAGACATGATGTGAGCATACATAATGAGAAGATGAAAACTCTCTTAATCTTTGCAGATTGAATAAAATCTAATTACATGCTGTATTGATTGTTGTGTATTACTGGAAAGAGACAGTGAAAAGGGAAAAAGGCAATTACAGTGAAATTGTAGTCTGACCCTTCAATTGCTTTTGGCATGAAAGGTTATGCTCTATTCGGGGCATCAAATATTCTTTATCCTCTATGGTAAATCATTAGCAACAGACTCAGATGCAAAACTGATTAGGGGAAAAATTCAGTCAATTAAATCTTTTTTATTTTTTCCCCTTTACAAAAAATAGAGGCAAAGGAAGAAAATACCAAGATATTACCGTTATGCTGTTTCATTAATTGCTACTAAGTCTATCTGCATTAGTTCTGTGTTGACTGACAATCAATCTTATTAATCAATAGAAATACCACAGTAAAAATGAAAAAAAATATAGACTGATACACTAGACCTAGAATAACTCAGTTTTTCAAAATGAATGTTATACTCAAGGTCGAATATTAAGAGGTAATATAAAGTTTCACCGAGGAAGTTCCACAGACACATTTCATTGCTTTGCTTTCCCTTTGCCACTTCATCCATTTACTTCCATCAAAAAAAGCTGCAGCTGAGCAAAAAGAAAGCTTTCAAAAATACTATTTTTCTAAGTTGATAGAAAACCAAAGCATGAGCCAACTGAAAACTGTTGTTTGGGTGTATGTGTGCACGACTCTGCAGGGAATCATGGCAATTCTCATTCATTCTATTCTAAAAATTCTTGTTCTGCCACAGATAATTGCAAGGAACAGCTTTCTGCTGACTTTCACGCATGGTCCTCTGCGTCCTACACACACCTCCACAGGCATTGTATGCACAGTTTTTATTCAGGCTAAAAAGTTAATGAGTTCTCTAGTGATCAGTTTTAGGCTGTCTCTCGATACACTTGCAACGTTACCACTTTTGTTTATTTTTCCTTGCAGAATGTACACTTTCCAATAATTTCTTTGACTGCATGAAAACAAATAAGTGTGACAAACAAAATTCTGTACGGCTGCAGCTGCAGGGCTGGTCTCCCACCGAAATGTCTTTCTATTGCACTGGATCTTCAACAGAGTCCCTAGAAAATCCAGGTAAGGTCTCGCCAGTTTAGGACTAATACGAATTGAAGAGAAAAAATGAAATAAAAGAAAACTAAGACTTTATTACCAAAAATATAAGGCACTTAATGGCTGGCTCTAAATTTGTTCATCTCAAACCAGAAAGAACCCAGAGCAGAAAATTGAAATACTGATCTGGACAGACCTACTGCAACAGTAACGCTGAGCTGGACTCAAACTCCTGGTGCTCGCAGGAGTTCTGGGTATGCAAGGAATTTGTATTCCTCATGAATAAAATCCGTCTACCCACGTCTGCCTCTCCCTATAAAAGTGACCTTGACCCACCCCATCAAAAAGTAACATCCAAGAAGGCCTCAGATGGCTCTCTGACCTTGTGAGAAAGCTGTATACAGGATAATGTCTGAGAAACCTTGCTCGACATGAGGATGAAACTGCACAGCCCCAGAGCAGAGAGAGTGCTTCTGTAACACCGATGTTTCTGTGAGGCACGGTAGAGCACTGTCACAGACAGGCTCCCTTGAATCTCAATGCTGCCAGAGCAGCATTATGCCCATTAATGGCATAAGTAATGAGTCATGATATTAAAAACGGAATACCAGTGAGCTAAACCCAAACACAGATGCTTGATCCTGATTTCACTTACAGCCATGCACCCCTGATGATTTCAGTGAAGCACTTCCTAATTTTTTAGGACTTGTCAGCTCTGCTGCCATGGGATGGGGGACAAAAAAAAAAAAAAAAGAAGAAAATGACAAAGTATCTTTTCACAATGATGATGAACTCAGTAATCTGTGTTGATGTAATAAAAACCCCAACCGAATCACAGAGAAATTAAAGGGAAATGAATAGGAAATTTGAATAGCTCAGCTTGAAAAACTTTCTGTATTTTCCTGTGTAAGAACTTTCAAGAAGAAGAAACTGCCTGCAGTGTTCATTGTGACCTGAAGAAGCAACATAACATTTAAGTTCAAGTAATTTCACTGTGAAGTTCCGTATCCAACAAATCAAATTAAAGAAGAAGAAAGTCTCCAAAACAGAGGCGTATTTTACAGAGAACTTCCTGTTTACTGTGAAGCCACAGTCATTACGTGCCACAGTGCTTGCCCAGGACATCAAGGACTCCAGCTGATTCTCCAGGGGATGCTACGCTGAGATGAACCCAGAGCAGGTAAATGCTACCCAAAGTCTCATCCTTGAACAACACCCAGAACAAATCAATTCGGGCCAAAAGGCCCATTTAGTTGAGCTATGATGGATATAGCTTGGGGACTGATCTAATTTATTTTGGGAACTCTATGGCTTTGTTAAATTTGGGAGGAGGATTTCCCTCTTAAATCCTACATTCTTCAAAACTCCAAAATACGGTTAGGAAACACAGCTGTTGACACTTTTCCTTCTAATTCATGAATGTGTATTTTTGTGACTAACACCCACACTCCACATTCCCCTTCTCTCTTCCCCACTTATACAGATGAGTGCGTAAGGGGACGCCTGCTCTACAACACTTGCTGGCATCGACTGCATATTACCATAATGGTCTAACCTACTTAGATTTATACAGTCATTCAGAAAGTAGTAATAGGATATATACTTTACCCTAAACCTCCTATTTGTCTGCATTTTGAGACTACAGCAGTCTTTGTTAAATCAATGTTACGAGTAAGATTTTCACAAGCAGCCTAGAAGCACATTTGGTATACTTAAATATATTTACACGGGAAGGTTTATTTGGTGCTAGATGCTAAATGTTACATTTATATTATAATTTCATGTAAAAGTTCGCTCCTTCAGCCTCTTCTTATCCAAAGCACTGATGTATTTAATCACATACTTATTTCTTTGATGTTCCACATTTAGAGCTTTATGAATCTATGCAAATACAAACACACTTGTTTTGAAGAATTAGTTTCTATGTGAAATGTTAGTTGTCTTATAACAACTTTTAGGGCTCAGCCTGTTCTAACTACCACAGAAGGGTTCTTTGCTTACCTACCAAGATTTTTCAAGGCTGATGAATTTGAACAGAGTGTCATAAAAAGAAGTGATGGATGCTTCCTCTCGTCACCAAAGTTAATATCAAATTTTAATAGCAAAGTCATTAAGGAAACATATGGGTGCTATGTTCAAATAGACCCTTAAAAAGTACACAGCATAAGAACTCAGTAGAATGTTTTTAAAGTAGTTACGAGACCAAGTATACGACTTCCAGATATAACGTAACAGTGTATTTGCTATACAAATGCCTACCCATGCAGAGTTAACATACCCAGGCAAACCGTAAAACCTGGTACAGTTTGTAGAGACTTCCACCAACCCTTAAACCCACGAACTCTTCAGCCTCCTTAACTTTGCATCTATTGAGGAAGTCCTGACTTTGAACCAAGAGTTGGTGGGGAAGGGGCTCAACAAATCCCTCCAGCAAAACCCTGCAACCACCTTTTTCCCTTCACTTTCAGCACTTCAGCGGTGGGGTCAGTGCGTATCGTGCCAAGGCTTCCCTCCCCAGCGGGCAGGCGGGCACTTGGGGTGCTCTTCCCCGCTCTGCAGCACCCTCCCAGCACACAGGGCACCAGGGGACCGGTGCCGCGTCCCCTCCCAGCCCTCCGTACCATTCAGCTGGTTGTAGACCACTTCCTCCAGGTGGTCCAGGCGCTGCAGGATGGACTCCCTGTCGGCCAGGCTGCCCACCTTGGCGCCGCGGCTCCTGGCCCGGCGGTCCGCGCTCCGGACGATCTGCACCAGCTCCTGGGAGCGGTCCTGGATCCTGCAGTAGACGGAGAAGAGGATGATGCCCACGAAGACCAAGATGTTCACCGTCAACAAAGTTTTGATTTTCCGTGCCACC